CGTCGCTGCGGGGTCTCGGGAGAGTTGAGGAACTCCATCTCCCGAGATCTTGGTGGCCACCGGCTGAGTGATCCGCTTCAACGGCAAACCAATGCGGTACAGAGCTTCACAGCAAATGCCATTTCATTCTATATGATACTTATAGCAAAGCCTCATGGACTTTTGGATGCTGCTTGGCTTACAGTTGAAAGCATAATCAGCAAACGATTGTGTAGCTCCAGTCCAGGAAGCAATGGTGTCATGCATCATTGCTGCGAGCCGAGATTGGTATGTAAATGTAAGCAACCATCATGACGTCTCAACACCGGGAGCACCCGCGTCAGCCATTTGGATTCAAACAGGTGCTCCCGGTGTCTGATGGTTGCTGCCCCAATTTGTCCTCCAACTTTTTAGACCTCTCATGTTGTCAAGTACTGTGCGGGGACTCTTGATCTATGGCTGTGTATCATGAAACGGGAGACCCTTCAACCAATGGCTTCTAGCGGGCGTCTACCCACTATTGGATACACCCCTTTTTGTATGGCATCCCTTTTCTTTCAATACCGGCACCCCACAGGCATGATCAGTGAGGTAGGCCGAAGCAGGACAAGCTTACTGGCATCAATCCTCCCAAGTTAACTCGACTGTTCGCCCTCTCTCTTCTACAAATCGATCGAACCGCGTTCAAACAAACCAAACAAACCAAAAGCAGCAACCAAATGCAATAAAGATATTCATCCGTGCAAACCAAAGTATGCCGGCCTTCTTGGCTGGGACAATGATGTGTCATCTGGTCCATCTCATTGAGTTCACGAAGACAAACCCAACAAGAAGCGCCATCGTCCACCAAGCGAAACACCCACAACGAAACGCAACGAAGCGCATACACATAGTCAACCTGCTAGTCTTGGGACATTCAATCTGGACGGGGTGGTCAATTTGTCATCCAAAATGGCCAATGGTTTGAAATGACACATTGTACGATCCGTCTTTTCTCCAAGCAAAAGCCTGCGCTGTGCTGGGCCCTACCAAGGCTCACCAAGCCCCATTCTTTTCTCGTGAGAAAGAGGCGGCAAACCTCAATTTCGACTGGCATGACCTAAAGATCCTGGATAGAATGCATAATGCATGATGATCCTCAGGTCAAACTATAAGCAAAGCAATGGACTGGGTTTGCTTCTCTTAGGTCAACCATCATGAACACTATCACTATGACTACTGATTCGCAAAGCACCGCGCATGACAGCGCGGCTGTCAGCGACGGCGCTCGGTCAGGCGTACCTGAGGGCACAGGACGCTGAGATACGTCGAAGTAGACGGTCGACATAGACGGTGCATCGGATTGAACCACACTCCATGTAGCTTTTGTTGCAGTCTAGTCTAGTTATGATGTAAAGGGAAGTCTATAGGTTTAAGCAGAACTGCTCCCCTGGGCGTCCAACCCTTGTTGATAGGGTGGGCTGTAAAAGTCGCGGTGGTCAAAGGAGTCTGTGTCGATGGCCTCAAGTCTCGAAGGAAGTCTGTCTCGAAGTCTGTCTCGAAGATGTGTTTCCAGGAAAACCAACATGATCAATCAGTATCAGTATGGGCTACTTCGAGCAAGCAAGCATCGAAACCGGTGGAATTGCAAGCCCTCTATATAATATATCATGCATAAAAGTCAGGACATTGGGGTCTGCAGTGAGAAAACGTTCATCACAACCCACAACTGCTCATTGGGCGCGCGAAAATGGTTGTGGGGACCCATCTAGGTTAAAACACTTCGCTGGATCCAAGGGATTGTGACCTTCATGCTGGATCCAAGATGATCCAAGAGATTAGTCATGGCTTGGAGACCTTGCTGCAGCTAACCAATCCTCAAGGGTTGAGGCAAACGTGTTGGGCAGGTTGTGTTGGGACCGTCTGCGAAGCTGATGCTGTTAATTATCTTTTCCTTTTCCAACTGGTTGCTTTGATAGGGGTGTCATCAATCTTCATGCAAATTCAATTAAACAAAGCAACTGACTGTGAGTTCCTCCTTTTCTTGAGCTTCTTTTGCTTCCCAAATGATCATTGCCTCAGTGAAGTGGATGGTACAGCGCAACCAGTGTGAGTGTTCCTTCCGGAATTTGCTCCCGGTCTGATAGGACACGGACGACCGCCTCATCCGTGTGCTCATTGAAGTAGAGCTTGTACCCGTGACTCTGAAGCAGTTGAGCTATTTTCGCTGGTGCCGAATTGTCCCGAAGAATTGAAACTGCCACCACCTTCACCTGGCCACTCGCAAGCGCTTCTTCTGCCGATTGCAGCGCGTAATATTCACGACCCAAGACACTGATGCGGAGAATGTCTACCTGGCCAAAGCCTTTAGATTGGAGAATGGAATCTAAGCTTGTGCATTCCTTGATCTCTGGCAGCTTCTCCACATCCTCCTGCCATTCCGAGACGTCCTGCCATCCCGGCTGACTCAACACTCCGGTCTCATCGAAGACCAAGGAATATTTGTGACTCTGATTGGCGCAAACAAAATGCTCCAGGACCGTCAACCTCTCCTTCATCTCATTACTCTCTGCCGTGCGCCGCAGCGCAGCCACTGCCGGAAAATAGGCATCGATGGCAAGGCCACGACTTTTGTGGTGAGAATGGGTCAGGGCATACAAGATGCAGCCTCCCAGGTGTGCTCCAACTTCAACCACAGTGATTGGTTGCCCACGATGCTCATCCACTTGGTCCTTGAAGACTCGATCACAATGCAAATCTAAAACGGAGCGTACGTGGTTCGACTCCACGTTTCGAGTGGGTAAGAGATGTGCGAAAAAGGGCTTGGAGATATGTGTCACTGAGTCCCGGAGGTGGAGGCCCTCGATGACTTGGCTGTCAAGGCGATCCAGGAGGTCAAACAAGGGCACCGCAGAGCGTCCCACGGTGGCGATGATGCCATGCATCTCTGTCCAAGATGGAGGTGCACGTGCCTTGGTGTGCAAATAGGCCTGTAACAAGTACTTCTGCCCAAGATGAAGAAGTTGTTCCATTCTATCTCGCGCTGGGCTCTCTACTCCACCATGATCAAGAAGTCCTGGGGCTTCAGTAATGCGCAAAATATCGGCGTCGGCAAAAAGACTGGCTGACATGTCCAAACTGCTCCAAGATGGCCGTCTCAGCCGCCTAAATTGCAATCCACTAGCAGCTGTATCCAGGGACAGGTAGTGCTTCAAAGCGGCAACGAGCTCTTCTCTGGATGCCACTGCATCCGGTTCGTTGATGTCCAAAATCTCCGGAAACTTCTCTATAACTATTCGATGTACTGTGCCCATGTGAAACCAAGGTGCATAGCTGGTGCCGCTCGCCAAGTAGCCTGTAAGATTTATATCAACCACATAGGTGCGTGAAACATATTCTGCGTTCACTAAAAGCCTTCGAGCAGTATGTAAGCTTGCTGAATCCTGTGGTAGCTGTCGCAATCTCTGAGCTATACGCGCCAGCACAATTCCCCGGTGTGCTGTAGGACAGCTCGACCAAGTATTCATGGCATCCGCAGCCTTATAGACATTAAAGTCGATAGCCTCAAACTCCGCACGCATGCGTAGGAAGGCCAAAAGCTGAGTACAACTCCTCTGACACCACTCCTCCACTTCTGGAGATGACGGCCGTGCATCGCAGGTCCGGTCCAAGCCAGGAATCTGAGCGAGGAGAAGAGGCAGTTGGAGAAGCAGCGATAGTTTGCCAAACATTCGAGCGCCATGGCCCTTCCACAGGGCGGCTGCGCTTGGTCTAGGGAGGTCTACGATTGTGAGATACGGTTTGATACAATGACACTCGATGGTAATGATGTGAGTGTAAAAGACTGCTTTGCAGGGACTGACATCAACCCGTGCCTGTCACAACTGGAGAGATATTTAATTGTGAAGGGCTCCGTATGCTCCTTAAATTTTAAATCTTGACATGGCTCCAGTCATGCTCATAAGAAGACCCGAGCTGTGACAGGACCAACCAACACAGATCTGAAGATCAAGCTCGGGATAGACTTATTGTTTCCACATATTATACATGATTCATGAGCACATGGTCTGGTAGGGACACACAAACAAACTCGAAGATAATTCAAAACTCTACTCACCCACCTCCAAACAAATTGAATTCCCACTGCGACCCATGGACATTTCACCCTGACTACTAGTACCCTGTCACCCCATGTCCCTCCCATCAAGTCCAAGCGCCCACCCTTCATGTCTTCCCGAATCGGATTGTCCAAGCGACAGCTGCCGGAAGAGCTTCAAAGTCCTCATCCTCCATGTCCCGTGGCCCAAAGGCCGGCGACATGGCCGTGTCCTGGCGACAACGACATGGTTTCAGCGTGCGCATGGAGCGCCACGCGCGCGCGCCGTTCATCCACCAACACCTGGGACTTTGGGACACACCTGGTACTCGGGCCCGGGGTGTTTGGGGGTCCGTAACTTGGTGCCCAAGGGATTTCAGACTTGGGCCAAATGACTTAACAAATTTGGTCAACAATTCTGCCACACAATCCCAAGTCCCAAGAATGATTTGCAACGAATGACCACCCACGATCTGTGCAACGTTGTGCAACCCTCGATCTTTTTTGTATTTCTCAAGCATTCTGCTGCTATCTCTGTCGGCTGTGTGAAACTGCTTTGAGAGGTGAAACAAATGCTGGCCGTTGAGTCAAAGCTTCAGTCGGCTGCAGCTTTCGGACTTCACCGAACATGTGCCCAGCACCATGCCGGCCAAGTCGATCTATTCAAATTGATTCTTGTCAGAAGGGTTGGGCTCAAGAAAACAGCTGGCACTATCAAGCACGCTGACATGGTCCAAAGTTGCGAAGGCTTATAGTATGCTGGTTTGCCTTTCAAAAGTAAGTCCAAATTGGTCCCAAAAGCCTCATATTTATACTATTCTGCAGCGAGTTTGTTCCACAATATACAGCAACTTCAAACACCCTCCATGGTCTCACATCTTTCACCCTTGTTTTCGTCGCATTTACTCGAACCAGCCGGGCTTTTTGAGCCACCGAGAAATGGGTCCTATGGAGAACTCCTCTTTGGGCAGCGGCACCCCACGCTCGCGACGCCGCGTGCGGAGCGCATGGGGCAACCCAGGACCCAACGAGCCAAGCGCAGGCGACCTGGACCGTGGCGGTGGGAAAAGGCCGGGCGCAACGGACTCGAAGCGTTTGAAGCCATGATGTGATGAACACTTGAGGAGATGCGCAAGGGGATATTATAGTCAAGATCCAGTTATATAGATGCAACAGAATCTGGTTGAGGTCCTTGAGATATGGGTGTTGAATTCTGTTAATCAACAAACAAAATACCAAGTAAAAGTATGTAAAAGTCTAGTGCATGAACATCTGTTCCCCTTGGGAATCCGGAACGATGCTACTAAACCAAACCCCCACACCGATGTGCGTCTTCCGCCGCGCCCGTCTCGGCACCCCGACCTGCGAAGCGCCCGGAGCCGCCCGGTGAGCTGCGGAGCCGCTCGGACTCCTCGATCTGCCCTGGCGGTTCGTCGAGCAGCGAGCACTTGTTCCTAGTAGCTTCTTGTTTCAAATAGCTTATTGTTACTACTAGTAAGGCACTTGCTCCTAGTAGCGATGCACTTGTTCCTAGTAGCTTTGTGTTTTTTTTGATCGAATGCTTTGCAGTGATTCATTTGTTGATCAAGGATGATGTGTGTGCGCCGACAAAGAACCCGTTGTTGGAATCATGAAGTCCTTTTAATTGCCATGTACCAATGTAGGGTGTTGTTTGTACAGTGCGCACATGTTGTTTTGGATGACCTCACAGCCTGATAGTCACAGTTTTATCCCAAGAACCCCCAGTATATATGGCCAATGGTTCTGGCTTTATGGAACAACGCAAGGAACTGGGCACCTTTGGAACATGCCTAACTTGAGACATGGACCATGGATATTCAAAAGGCCCAGCATACATGTACTGTACATGGCAGGAGGTTGATGGCGCCTGCGCGCTGAAGCAACTGGTCCCGGGTTTCAGTGTCACCCAACCTGCAAGTCGTGCAGCCTTCTTCTCTGTCGCACGTCGAAATGAGGAGATTGACGGGAGATTGGATTGGAATGAATTGGAGGATGACATTGCCAATCCTGAGAACAGCTGGAGCCATATTTGGACTACTCCATCTGGGCGCCATGCTTGTCACAAGTTTGGGCGATTTCAACCAGGTAGACTGCCACGTTGCGGTGCTGCTGCCTGGTGTTGCTGTGGCCACCAAAACAACCACCCGCACTGAACGCCCAAGAAAATCACGGATGCTCTTGGATGCAGTCCGGTGCTTCACAAATCTCACAAAAGGTGTCCGTTTCGCAAAGGGGGTCTCCCTACGCCCAAAATAACTAGTATAGAGCCTCACACGTGCGCAGCTGTCTTCTAAGGTTTAGAAACATCAAGAAAAGAAACATCGAGTCTAAGGTTTAGAAACCTCTAAGGTTTATGGGGCCATAGAGGTACCAAACATACAGGCCATACAGGCCACGTTTCGTTGGGTGGTACCGCTCCTTTGTGTTCGCTTGTTCGTCCAACCATGCTCTTCTTGCCCAAACACCTACTAGCTTCTTGTTCCTACTAGTAAGGCACTTGTTACTAGAAGTGATGCACTTGTTCCTAATAGCTTTTTGTTACTACTAGTAAGGCACTTGTTACTAGTAGCGATGCACAGGCGCTGGGGTGCCAGCCCAAACTTCAGCTCCATGATTCGCACAGAGCGTTCCAGAAGCACCTGTGGGGGCGATCGCAAGCGTGAAATGATGCTTGCTTCACGAAGGAAAGACGTCCCGTTCGTGGGAACGTAACATGTAACAACTAGGAAAGTCTTCCAGTTGGCGTGTGGACTTATGGCTATATTCCAAGCTTCTGTGTTTGCCTTGAGAGCACCCTTAAGAGCAAGATCATCCACCATCCATACGACTCCGACGCGTCATCTGTATGGGTCTTTCCGAAGGAGGCTAAGATCTCTGACGTCTCGTTCTCCTGGCTTTTTACATCAGAAACATCACGGTTGTCTTCGTCTCAGTTGTCTGCTTTCTGACAAACATCTGAAATGATCCGGTTTCAGATAGCAAACAACTGAGAAACATCTGATAGCAGGGAACATCTGATAGAAACCGTTTAGATCTCGAAAACATCTGATAGCAGGAACCAGGAACCTCCCTCCCTCCTTCCTCCCGGTCTCGTTCGTCGTTGCTAGGGGAGAGCACGGAACTCCCTCGCCTTCTTCCGCCGGAAGTCGCCCAGGTCGCCACAGGTCTGTGCCAAGGCCTGACGGCCGTCGAGCAGGTCTTGTTCCCAGGTCTGCAGGAGCTGAAAAAGAAAAGAAACTCGGATCTCATACGTCCTGCTTCTATTCAATTGTTGAAGCACCTATTTAATCCTAATGTATTATTCATGTGCGTTCGTGCAAATCTGGGTGGTTTCGCAGTGGACCTTGTCATACTGCGTTCAACATGCTGAGCTTTCAGCAGCCAAGATCACACCAACGTTGTAGTGGTCGCTGCCTGGAGGCTGACCCACAACTCACAACCAATCGGTTTTGTCCTGGAGGGTTGATCGCTTGGTGCTTCACACATTGCGCAAATGCCAAACATTGGCACCACATGGCCATATGGCACCATAACCTACTCTTCTGCCATCATTGACCTTGGTTGGTAGCCATCAAAGCTCGTGGCACCGCCGTTGTCTTTCTCCATTCTCCTTTCCCCTCCCCCAAATTGACACCCTTCACCGGTTCTCTGAGCTCGGCGCCAAAGCTGCGTTCCATGATGCTGACCGACTTCTCCAGCAGCTCCTCACAGCGAGGACGCCGAGGACGGCCCGGCGGTGGGCCGTCCAACGAGGCTCGGAGGCTCAGACATAGCAAACAAAAGGCGCAACAGAACGCGCATACATAATAGGATATAATAGGACATACACAAATTCATTTATGTTGCATTGATATCAGATTATATCAGAACACATGCAACATCCTTCAAGTTGGGTGCTTTACGGGAACCGGGGATCAATCAAAATCACTTAACCTCATGACTACATGTGCGAGAATGCACCTTCGCCTTGCAAGGGGTAGCAAAGTGACTGCGGACGGTGTGCATGCCAACATGCGACCAGGGTTGGCCATCCTGGCGCACCTTTTCACTGAGTTGTTACCTGTTGTTCTCGGCACTTTATAAGGTTTCTAGATGTTTCAGTGCAAAGACGAAATGCACTAAAGGGCTACTGCATGACCGAAGAGCAGGGAATTATGCTCTTGCGAGCTCTCTTCTCAGTTAGAACTTCTAAGAGTGTAGCTGCGGCTGCCACTGATTGGGCCCCTGCCTGCCTACAGCCACGCCCTCAGCCATCCTTCTTTCGGTGGAAGTCTCGCATGCGGTCGTAGACCATGCTCAAGCCAGTCAAGGAGCTGAGCCTCGAGACCGCATTTCTTCCAGAACTCCCAAAACATAACCAGAACGGCTCAACCCTAGGACGCTACTAGGGGCTCCTGGCCGTACTACTAGGAGCAAGGACACTACTAGGGGCTCCTGGCATCGCTACTAGGAGCAAGGACGCTACTAACACTCATCTCATTGGAGGACTCATCTCCTTGATTGGACGTCGACTGCCTGCGTTCGACTGAGCCAGTTCAGTAAAGACTTCCTGTGGCCGTGGCAGTTCCCAGTGATCAGGTCCGAAGTGCCTCTCCTGGAAAAGTATGCTACGACTCGTAGCTGACCAAAGCTCGGAACATGCAGCTCGTTTTTTTCTGTCAAGTATAAATAAGACGTAAGGGACGTGAGTAACCAATGTCTTGGGACGACCTGGGTACATATTACAAATTCAACATCATTCAACTTCGATCATTCAACCTCATATTATCGTTATCTTGTTTTCTTGCGTGCTTCAGCACACACCTGGAGCGGGTTGCAAATCTTCGGACAACAAACCCTGTATTGTGGAGGCACTGACTGATTGGATGACACTGTGAAATGCCACTGCAGTCCTGTATGCTGAGAGCCTTTTCAAGCAGCTCTTTCTGATGATCTACGTTGCCCAGATCACCGTATGCGTTGCCGAGGCTGACCTTGACTTGTGGACCCTCATTTGCACTGACTATGGCAATTTTGTCAGCTTCATAGCATTCCAAAGCTGCTTTTAGCCCTCAAAACCCTGAAACACCTAATATATTAATTATATATAGTCACTATTGTGGTGGCATTGTGGGTGCCTTTATCTCTGGTGTCTTTCTCTCTCTCCCAAACTTCTCAGTTCCCAACTAGCGCTTTGGCAACTTCAGCATGTTCAGCTCCAAACTCCCTTTGCCTGAACTGACAAATCGCTCGAAAACTGCATCCCACCACTCTCACGGCCATGGGGTTCTGGCTTGATCCTCAAAGCACGCTCCAGCAGGTCCCGCTTGGCGGTGACATCACCCAAGCACCCATAGACGTTGCCTGGACGTGGAAAGTGTTTTCAAGTGGAGTTGTGGTCGTTTTTCGTGCTTCTTGGGGTGTCAATGCAGCGAAAGGATGCGGCATAAGGCACCCGCCCGGCCTAGGTTGAGGAGCGTGTTGGCCACCGCCCGGTGATCATGACCTCGGATGTGGTCCCAGAGTTTGAGGACCACGTCTTCCCCCATCTGGTGATATCTAGTAAGCGTGCAAGCCTCTTGAATGCCGAGGGTTTCTTGAAGGCGCTCCGCTCCTCATTGAATCAACCTAATTACACTAGCATAGACCCAGATAGCTAGGCAGAATCCCACGACCTGTTGACATGCGACTGGCTGGAACAAGAATGTACGCCGCCTGCGCAGCCAGCTTACGGCACCTCCACAGCGCGGACAATCAGCTGACACCAGCACCTGGCACCCAGCACCAGCACCGGCACCCGGCACCAGAACCAGCAACCTGTCTCCACCACGTGCACAGCCAGCTCGCAGCACCAGCACCGGCACCCAGCACCAGCAACCTGTCTCGAAAGCGCGCACGGGCAACTCATTGTTATTTGAAGTAAGAACCCCATAGCTTCGCTATCTGGGGAAAGATGGTACTTAAGAAATCTGCCGTGGGACCTATCATAAGCAACTGGCAAACCAAAAGACGTAGCCGATTGAAGAGATCCCCAATTGGGAGAAAAATGACCGACCTAATATGACCTGATGGACACCGACCCAACCGGCCGATGATCGCTGTGACGACCACACCATACTCCTGCTCGTTGATCTTCAAGGCTCGCTCCAAGAGGTCACGCTGGGCACGGCGGGGCCGGTGGCCGGTGGCCGCGTCCCACCGGTGGCGGACGTAGGGGGTGGAAATGGGGAGCCGAAAAGACGAGAAATCACATGAAAGATCGTCGCTTCATTAAGTGGAAAAACCTAGGGCGCGGTGCACCAGATTAGCACTAGCCATCACTCGCCGCTAGCCCTGGTCACCACATAGGTTAACCAAACACTGTGGCGAGACTTGTGGTGCCCACAAGATCAACATCGAGGATGATTCCAGTTTTACCACCAGTCCCAAAACCGCGCAAAATAGTAGAAAGAACTGGTGGTAAAACATCTCCCTGCCACTCAAAACAATAAATAAACAAGCAAAACCATCTAAAACAGCGATGTTTTGGGGGTGGAGGGCATTCACCCCCCCCTCCAACGATCCCGCTCCGGTAATTACAGGCGCACCTGTCCCTTGACATCACCCAAAGCTCCATAGGCAAGGCTGAGATTCACCAAGCTAGCTGACACCTGACAAAAGCCAGAGCTCCCAAAACCAACATGGCCAGAAATTCAGATGCGGAAAATGGTGGTGTCTGATGACCAAAGCTCATTCTTCCACCCAGTAAGCCCACTTCAGTTTCTCTCTATCAGTCTACGCCCATCTACTCCGCCAACGCCTTGTGACTGTTGACACCAAACTCCGCTTCCATGATTCGAAGGGCCCGCTCGAGGATGTCACGTTGCGTCTCGTGCTCTCCAAGCCTCATGTCTCGTGGCCCCAAGTCTGCAGGTTGTATAGTCTTTTGGCTGGGATGTTTTTATGTGCTTTTATATGTCATGGCGAGGCTCAGGAAGGAAGGAACAAGCAACTTCAATTTCATTGGCCAGATTATAGCGTCCCGCCAGACCCACAGGGTCCTGCCTTCCGTAGACACTCCCCAGGTTCACCAAGGTGGTGGCCACAACATGGTGATCCGGACCTGGCCGAAATGGACTGCTGGGTGCAGTCCATGGGTGCGTCGCCGGTCTTGGGTGCCAGACCGTACTCCCTCTCGTTGATGGCAAGGGCCCTTTCCAAAAGTTCCTTTTGTTTGTTGATGTTCCCAAGGCGGTCGTACCTGTCGCATGCGAGAAACGAAGGACCCGCCCTTTTGAGGATTTATACAACTGCCCGACCGTGGCGCACGCATTGCCAAGGTTGGAGAGCGTGGTCGCCACATCGCAGTGATCTGGCCCAAACTCGCGCTCCTGGAATGACAAACAAAGCCAACATGTGAGGGCTGATCTGGATGATCAAATGCTGCAAGGACCGTTTTTTTTAACACAATGTGACAATGCCAAAGAAACCTGTTGAAATCTATTGAATCGAACACGCAAGCAGTGAGTGGTCCCACATGGTCTTCTCCGATGTATCCTGGATTTCCAAGGCTTTCTCCAAGTGGACACGCTCTTGATATGCATCTCCACAAAGACCATACCTTAACAGGTCACACATAGATGGACCGTTGGACCAAACCCGCGGCCATAGCTGCCAGGTGACGCCACGCCCAAGTTATGCAAGGCTGCTCCGACCACCTCAGTGGGGAACTTGGGCTGCCAGGCTGCTGACAATCCACAATCCAAACATATCCAGACACATCAAGTAACCAAGTAAACCGCATCGTTTTTTTGTGGATGCTCACAGGATCACTCACCAATTCCAATCTTTTGACTCGATGTTGACTCATCTCGCAGGGTCAGGAGCAAACAATTCAAACGTTCCGATGGGGCCCTTCCAGGTGCCTTTTCTAACCTCCTCTCAGCCTGAGATTCCGGCGGCATGCCCTTCCCCATAACGGGTCTGTAGCCTAGGATGACCCCAAGTCAGCCCCCAGTATTACCAAGTCATGATCATACGGCTACCGTATCTGATCATACCGTAGCAGGTCCACTGAAAAGGCTTCAGCTATCATTCTCCATCTTGGCTTTTGGAATCCAAGGCCTTCACTGAATAAATCGATCCATGCGAATCCCTCTATTTCCCTCATAGATTTGACCAAAAAACAATCTGACCAACATGCCAACTCAGCAAGAAGTCATTACCAACTAATGGCAATGACAACAGTGTGTACCTTGCCCAAGCCAAACACCCATTTCCCTCTCAAGCCGCGGGCGGCTGGGAACTGAGGCGGCCGCTCAGAGAGGGCAACTGCGCCCAATCGAACAGCCGCTGGTCCTGGGTCTGCCCGGCCATGCATCCCGCATCCCGATGTGCTGGTCTTCCTGACGTCTGATTCCCCCCACCATATGACAATGCTCCTTCGTAGTGGTGCTTGCAGGTGGGACACGCCAAATCCAGCCTGGCGACGGCACACGACCACGCGACAACACCCTCTGCGTGGTTCATTCTGCAAGGATTGATCTGCACGTTTAGCTTTTACATGTTTCTACCCACCAAGGACCTCCGACCTACTGATATTGCTCATCTAAGTCATACAGTGATTTGTCCCAATGTTCTTGTCTCAGCGGTGGCATCTATATAGCCTTGACACTTTGTAGGCGCACATTGAGCATGTCACTAAGTACCGCCTATGTTGCACGTGTATGCACACAATGCACGCAGCCACCAATCCAAGCCCGCCCATCCAAGTCCCTGGCAGGAGGCCCCTGGCTCGGAAGGCAGCTTCGATGCAATCGAGATGCACATACCTGGGCGCCAGCCGCGCTGCTCCGCTCGGCTACCCGGGGGGGCGCTGCTCCGTTCGGCGGAAGCGCCGCTGGCTTCGGTAACGACAAGGTGCTTGGCAGAGCCGCGGCAAACACATGGGCTGAGGAGTTCTCCTCCCTCCTGAGGATGTGCAGGTCGCTTGGACTAGATGTCACACAGGCATGGGGTCAGGAAGTGATCGATAAATAATTAGAGTTGTAAATATTAATCACAGCTCAAATAGTCTTTACCACTTGGAAGTCTGGTCAAAATGGTCTTTGCCTGCCAGTCGTTCAAAGTTTGACCAAGCATGGTCTCGATGGCTCCTCCAAGCAAATTCTGCAAGCTTGTCCGGGCGGAACCTGGAAGACCAGGTTCCAGACTCAAACGGTGGATGATGATGACAAAACATGTCAAATCGCACTACACCCCCTGCAATAATCATGCATGTGGATGGCATGGAGCCCCTTGGATTACCAATGATGACCACGTTTGTCCGAATACCAAACAGGTGGTGCCATCCACTTTCATGATTCTGTTGATCTGTGACAGTCTAGAATGGCTAAAACGAGTCTCGTCGTTCATGGGACCGTTGAACACAGACACAATGCTCCGCTCCAAGCGAGCTGAAAAGGTCCGAACGTCCGCGCAATCAGCTGGCAGCACACGTGGCTGGTCCTAGCAGATCGCTGTAGTGCTGGCGTTTGCAGTCAGGGACGTTGTGTCGTTTGTTCATTCTTCTCACGGCCTCTCATCCTGTCACTTGCCCAAGCACATCTCACATCAAGTTGTCGAAGGCTACTGTTGCTGCACGGCTGAGTGCATTGATTTCTTCACTTCGAAACCATGCCGAAATGAAGGTAAAACTATAGAGTCTATAGAGACCGTGATCTTCACCGAAACAGGCTCCATGCATCTCCATGCATCCCCGTCGGCTCCCCGTCCGTCACATCCAGACCATCCGGTTGGCCTGGCCAGCCGCGTCTGAGGTGAGGTCTCAGACGGTCACTGAGATGTGCTGATTCATGTGAGTCTTCTTCTCCAGGTGTCTTTTCGTCCAGGTTTCTGCCCAGCAAAACAAAGAGATTCCAAACTCCACATTGTCCACTTGGATGGGATTAGCGTTGCATTGCCTTACATAGATTCAATACCTGGAGGGCTGTTCTCAAAGATGTTCTGTCCGAACAGCCAGGAGTTCCAGAAAAGAAGGGAAAGACTTCAACTCCGCACAACGTGCCTCTGCCATCACCCTCGGAGCATTTAACCGTTTGGCGGAGTGGGTCTATGCAAGGCTACACATTGGGGAAAGCGCTGAACAATGCACTTGTTTTCGGTTATACTTTGTGTCCTCCAACTCGTGGCGGAAATTGACTGCAAGGTTTGTCTCCCCTGTTGCTAGTTGCTTTGGTATACTAGGGGCCACGGCCAAGATCCCTTAAAACAACAGAACGGCAGCTCCTGGGAGTGCTGTTGTTCACGTTCTTTTCATTAGCAATAGGCCTGGATTTTAAGGGGAAAATGAAAGGAATTAATCATTTGCAATGAATGAAAGGAATAAATCACATTCAATCTTCTAAAAAGGTGCACTCCCACAGCCTGCCACTCTCTTTTACAGAACGGCGTAGCTAGCTCAGCGTGACGTAGTTGTGGCAGTGCTGTATCTGAATCCGATGACTGAGCTCGAGGCATCCTCAGGATGTTGGCAGCCCTAAGTTTGTTCACTTCATGAGAGTATCTCAACATTGAGGCAAGCAGGAAAGAACTCATGACCCTCTGGTTGCATTGCTCCGAATGCACGAGCCATGAGATGACGTAGGCAGGTGGTGACAGCATCTAGAAACGTATCGTATATGCCAAAATGGAAAGCCCAACGATCGCTAGAGCAATGAAGTCATGTGTTGTCCATTCTAAAGGCCAAATGTCTGAAAAGGCGGTCGACTCAGCTCCCCCAAAATTCCAACCAAAGTCCCACCCTTCAAAAACCATGGGATCCGGCCGGCCGACACTCATCTGAAACTCCAGAAGCTGAGTCCAACATCGGACCAATCTCAAAAAAGAACAAACATCCCCAATGACACCACCATGCTGAGCTCCGGTCTCCAGTCTCCTCCGGTGTCTCCCGAGCGCCCGGCTGCCAACTTGGCCCAAACGGATCGGCCCAGCTTCGCCTGGGCGCGAAGACGAGTCAAGCTGGAACGGCCTAATCGGTCACATGTAGATCCGGATGGTGTTCTTCATTCGCCAGTTGCTGAGTTTGGTGTTTGAGTCTGGATTGAATTCGAAAGTCCCCAAACTGAGCCCTTTTATGCCCTTTTTTCCACACGAGTTGATGGGCAATGGCATGCCCCCAACATGGTTTAACCAACATGTCGGATCATTTGGCAACTTTCGCTCTAGAACTCTCCATTAAATCGAGCCTTCCTTCCATTACCTTCGCTTCTTCTTTTTCTTCCTTTCAATCTCCCTCATGAGCAAACCTGCGTCACGCTAGTGTGTGAATTTGCCGGCGCGTAAACAAGAGTAACAAATTCTTTCGTGCATTATCGTAGTTTGGCGTAAGGAGCATCGTTTCCAACGGAATTCATGTTGTTTCACACTGTCACACGGCCACTCCCTTTGAAATGTGTACTTAACACATTGATCATATTGTCATGTTGGTCGTTTTTGCCACATGGTTGGGCTGTTTGGTGTAGTTTCGCGAGGAGCATGTCCATCATGGCCGTTGATTCCACTTGGACTCAGTTTTGACGTGAAAAGAGATGGCTTAGGACTTAGGACCACTGACTTCCACAGGCAGGGAACCAACCTAAGCTCAACATCCAATTCGTTCGTCCAACGGCGTGGTCCAACGACCCACCATTTCACTCTCCAAAGGTCTTGAGTCTGAGACGCCAAAAAGTCCCCTGGAATTTCATTCGGGTATACCCGCCATTGGCCATCAGGTGTGTCTCTGTTCTTTGATGCCAACTCCAGCTCTATGAAAGCAAGAAGCCACAGCAGCACAAGGAAGGCAGCATGTCGACCTGGTGCCCGACATCGCGAACCGGCCCAACGCGACCGTCGGGTTCAGCTCCCTCGGCTCCTTCAGCGAACTCCGTTCGGACCCGGAAAAGACACGTTCGACGAGCCCACCAGGGCATCGCTACTAGTATATATAACAAGGGCATCAATACTAGTAACAAGGGCATTACTGTATAATAACACCCAAGAAGTCAGCCCAAGGAAAATAGACCTTTGTCATACAGCGGATGAGAAAGCAACCCATTGTCCATATGGGAGTCACCATGAGCAACCCACTATGGCTAATGTCCCCAGTATGGCTAACGTCTCCTGCTCAAAAGCTTGTAACATGTTGGAACATGTTGGCTTACCAATACTACTACAGTAGATGGACAACATAATCAAACCCCTACAGTAAACCAAATGGTAGTGGGGTCGTGCCTGTAAGGATTTAAATCATTCATCCACCAGTGGTAGTATACATATTAGTGCTTGTCCGTTGCTGAGGTATCTGGCGACATCGCTCAGCACTTGGAGTGACGATTCATCATGACGATCGATGGTACATACGAGTGCCTTGTTTGGGAAGATCACGTGTGCCATGCTAAATGTGTCGCAATGATTCTTGGCCCTTGCCGAGAAAATGATCTGCTACAGTAGAATCATTCTTGAATATTAAATCAAGCTTCAGATCTGAGCCTCAATTGCGCAAGGCGAATGAACATGAATGCAGTGTCCATGCCCATGCCCTTGAAAGAATACACATTTGTTCTTGAACTTGCTTTTCCTTCACCATTGTCAGCCCCACCCTTGTTGCACATCACATCACATCTGCATCAAATCCTTCCGACAATGCTCCAAACGGAAGAATGTTGCCAGGGCAGTGGAAGGATGTATAATTATATGTGTTAGTTATAGTTATGTTATTGAAGTATATAATTTGTGGTTTCTCTATTGCAGATCCCTGCGCACCATATCCCACGTAGGACGGAATGCAGGTGACGGGCCCACCTGCCACAGCAGATCAACTTCCGAGGCCAACAAACAGAGGGCACAAAATGCTGAGAATCCTTGTCTCGTCTTGTCTCAATATATCTGAAGTCTGCCTTCCCCCACCAATAATCACCAATAACGACCATAACGACCACCTCCCCAACCTCCACCCACCAAACCCACTGACCTCCCGTTGCCCGGTGGGGTCATCTCGTCTCTAAGGACCGATCCAGTGGAGTAAAGCCACGGCTGGCCACGTCTGCTTCGTCGGTGAAGTCTTCTTCGTCCACGTCCTCCATCGACTCGGCCTGGACGGAGGAGGATTCGACGGAGAAGAAGGACGGTGACCGGTGACCCTTTACAAACTAGGGGACTGTGGTAGTAACTATACCTGGTAGTACGCATGTTTGGCGCAGGTTCTACCGGTATATGCATTTTGCACTGCTATCTTGTACGACTATCTCATTTATGTCTTGATGTTAGTGTCTGCTGTGACTTGCTTGTGCCAAGAAAGTTTCTGCGACATAGTCGCCAAAACAAACACATGTCAGGATCTGCCCCTCAGACAATGACGTGTTTTTTGCTGTTGATTGGTTGTTTTGCTGAAGAAGGCTATAGTGATACTCAATGGTTCCTTAATTAATAGATATTAAAACCCATTGTAATTACTGCGGTTGTGGCTTGACACCGAAAATTGGATACAGAAACATATCAACAAACTCGACAGCGCAAAGGGTAAATAATGAAAAACCACACACATCAAATAACTAATTGCAGAACTTGTAACTATATATATATATAATATATAACAAACAACTCATTTTTTGTGAATGACATTGTGAAGGTAGGTTTTAGTGTTTGTAGTAGGTGTATGAAGACAATGGGCATACTAAATAATAAGCCTGAACTGAGGTGTTTTTTAGATATGTGAAAATGTGGCGGTGAAAAAATATTAGTTATCAATGTTCCTGTCCCTGCCCGTTAGCGACCCAAACAGTGAGGGTGATAGCGAGATGTCCCTTACAACATTCACTACCGCTAGCGATAGCGAACCAAACAGTCAGGACGATAGCGAATTGTCCCTTACAACATTCACTATCGCTAGCGATAGTGAACCAAACAGTCAGGGTGATAGCGATAGTGAATTGAGGTGGGACCTTGCTTTACATCTACTTTAGTATTCGGGCCTTGGCCATTGGCCAGACTTGGGATTGGTCCTTGAACAAATACCGTCTATTCTTTGTCATTTAAGGTATCCACTGCTGTAAGGGCTTGAGAAATTCTCAATCTCTTACAAGTCTCACTACCGCTAGTGATCACTGTACTGAACTTTCAAATTCGCTGGAGCCACCAAAATCTTTTGTTTTCGCAAATCTGTTCAGCGAAAACATAACAGCATCCATGCTCCAGCAAAAATCAGAAGTCAGAAGTCCATATAGTAAATAAAGCTTGCAAGACTCAGCGAAAATCTCAAGCTGTTACAGCACTACATATGTTAAATGCAACTCCATGAACAATTTGTTCAGAGTCAGCACTGACTGTGATCCAATGTGATCCATATCCACCCATGGATCAGATTCTGGGTTGGTGGCTGGCAAGTTGCAACAAAGAAGCAGTGTAAGCCTTGCTGGGATTTGGTTTTAAGAGGCCTACCTGCCGCACATTCCCTGAATGGTGGTGCCAGTCTGCAGCTGGCTTAGTTCCCGAATGTTACAGGTGTCATGAGTGTCAGGTTGGACAGTACCCGCCTTGGACCCCTCGCAGGTGGTATTTTTTCAACAGGTGATATTCATATATGTTAAATACAGCACAGTGAAAGCCTAACAAAAGAACAGTTAAACAGTTGGTATGTTGATGAAATAGCAAAATGCACAAAACATGTCTATTTCATGAATTCTATTCAATATTCATGGTTACATGGCAGTGGATATATATTCTTTTTTAATGATTATTTATGTAAGGCTAGGATTAGAAACATCATATTTGATGAATATGTTGTAGAGATTGTATGTTTGATACTTAAGAAAGACACACAATTGTACTCGTTTACAAAGTTACTTCCAAAATGACATATATAATCCTAATAACAATGACATTAGAAAACATGCGTTGTAATTTCAGAACAATGATTTGATGTTATCAACATGTATCTTTAATTTGCAATCTATATAGTAGTACATAAATAATATATTATACATCGTTATGACATATTCAAACCAAATTATGTAACATTTGGTGTTGTATCGATAAAACCAGCTGGGTTGGCCCCTGGAGTTACTTTTGCCAGCTGGTATCACCACCGAAGATTCATCGGCCTCTGCAGCCTCACGCCGCTCCCCCGCGCCAAATTCATCATCCACGTGGGATTCCTGGCGGACCCAACAGGAAGATCTTGGAGATAGAACTCATCAACTTGTATTCGTGCCGTTCCTGGGCGTTTGCAGTATACCAAGGGTGAGATTAGCAACATCAAAATACATCAAGTATATTTCAAGTATATTGTTATAAGATGTTATAAGTTATAAGTCTATGCGCATGAATAGCGGTATCATCAACTTGACATTCTCTAGGTCGTGTGCCCGGACCACCTCCGACAACTCAAATCACCCGTTCATCCATGTTCTTCCCATTTCCAAGCCATTTTGGGCTTCCACTTCCAGCTCTGAGCCTCTTCAAAGCCATCGTCCCCATGCTCCCAGACTCGGTAGATCCCCATCCTCACATCCATCGCTTCATCGGCCGGTGGCGCGTCACGGCTCTCGAAACTCGACTCCGGTTGGATGGTTCGACGCCGGGGACTGAGGAACGATGGCCTCCAACCGAATGGCAAAGGAACCCAAGAGCGGCCTCCATCCGAACGAAGAGGTGACCTCCAACCTTTGAAGATCTGAGGACAGCACAGGAAAATGTTGGAGTGTGCCAAACGATAGGGATCAAAGGGGAAAAAGCAGGTCCCTCTGAGCCTCAGGATTCGACAACGTGAATGCGAAAAAGAAAAAAGAACGTGACACCAATCCAACCATCTGCACGACACACGGCCCAATGAGTCTGTCTGGGCATCTCGGGGAAAGGCCCAGTCGAAATCTCCACCTTGCAATATGGTAGCGGTTGGGCGTGGCAGTGAAATAAAGCCATGAACGAAGTGTTTCACAAGAACAAGCAAATCACAACAACATCCTGAAAAAACACAGAGACAGCCGATCGGGTGTGGTTTGCTTTCGGGACCTGGACTCAAAAACAGCATGTTTGACGTTCGGGTGACCGCAGGATGTAAAACTCATGCACAGAAAATAATCAGGAGCCAACATGACCAAATCAATCCAACCAAAAGTCTCCCTGACCTTCACAATCTCCAAGCACTCTCCAAGCGTCTCTCTTCCTGTTTTGACCTGGCCCACCGCTGCACCTCTTGGAGGTGGTTCTCCAGCACTTCGGACAGGCTCGGCCTCCGCGGCCTCCAGGGTGGAGAACTGGTGGGTTCCCGCGGTGTCGATAGTGAAATGGTTTGGTACAGCCTAACAGACTTTGGAGTCGGACTGTGGAGAACTTGTTGCATGACTCTGTGACTGGTTCCACGTCTGGACGCGATAATGCCATGTGAAAGTCAGGCTCCAAAGAAGTTCAGACATACTAATTCGGTCAGGCTCCATGTATTAGGCTGAAAAACAGTAAGTATTACTTAGATAAGTTCATGTTTTCTCCAAACATTCACACTATAACTGCTAATAACTGGTTTTCAGCCTCTCAGAAGTTCTGCTCGGACGACGTCAGATGAATCCATTTATCGCTCATTGAGCGGCATGGCACATCAAATTGACCATTGATTTGATCACACAACATGGGCACTGCTTTGAAGCGGTCATGGTCGAAGTTGTTGAACTTCACCCTCAACACAGAATCTCCATGAATCTCCAACAAACAAACCTCATCAATCCGGGCTTCCCATCTCATTCTTCGTGACCGCTCTTTCCGTGTTTATTGTTCATCAGGCTTTTCGTGACAGGCCTCATGCTTTTCAGGAACTCCTCCGCCACTGGGCGTGAGATGTGAGCGAAGGGCCTCGTGCCCAAGTGAACTCTTTGAACCGACCCGACTGCTGCATTACTTATCTGAGTTGGCCAAGACAATCTCAGGACAAACTCAACACTTTGAGTTCATGAAACACGACATGCCACATTGACATTAACATGCTTTGATGAGGCAATGGCTTGTGAGAGCTTAGGAGTAGGGGCGTGAAGGCATTCTGCGGCATGGCTTGTCCTTGCCGTTCGAGCTGAAACTCGGATCTTGGTGGAACCAGAAGCAATGGTCTCTAGTAGCGTCCTTGCTCCTAGTAGTAAGGCCAGGAGCCCCTAGTAG